CCGAATAACGGTCCCAAATTATCGAGGCCGAAAATATACCCTAACAGGGCCTCAGTCACGTGTCAATTGCGAACTTCCAGGGACCTAAATTGTGCACTTCTGAGACCCGCCACTGCCGAGAGTATCCCCCACGCTGCTCGTGCGGCATGGATTGGTGCTAAACTAGATGGCTTGGACTCACGAGCAGCATCTCCTGCAGCTTCCTTCATTTTATTTGCTCGTGAGAACCAGCCATCTAGTTTAGCCCCAATCCACCCCGCTCACGGGGATACTCTCAGCGGTGGTGGAAGTCGCCGGAAGTACCCAATTCGGGATTGGCCGTGTAGTCCCCGGAAGTACGCAACTGACATGTGACTGAGGCCCTGTTAGGGTATATTTTCAGCCTCGATAATATGGGACCATTATTCGGAAGATAGCCAAAGTGTTATGTCTTTCTGAATAGTTATATGAGAATGCTTACATATTTTTGGAAAGCCAGACAGCTTTCCATCATAGCTTAAGAAATATAAGCATATGAATTAATCAATCTTGTTGGATAATGCAAGATGTGGAGGAGCATAGTTGACCATGCCAGTCAGCAAAGCACTAGATGATGATGATGATGATGATGATGATGATGATGATGATGATGATGATGATAATGAAAAAAAGCTCACCTGCTATTTTTGTCACAATTTTCTTACTCTGGACAATTCCAATTCCTACTTCATTGAAGGCTGCTATACTCACATTGTAAGTGGTATTGGGCTTAAGACCAAGAAGGCGTATAGAAGCCCCTTTGTCATCAATACTGAAGTCTGCTGTCGAACAGTTAACTACATCTCCACTAGCAGTAACAACCTATAACAAGCATTGAGAAAATAATTTTCCATTCAAAATAATTGTGAAAATAGATGGCTAATTATAATAAGACAAATTATTAACATAAAGCAGGTCCTTTGCAGACCATCTCTCTCTTCACAGCCTGCCTGAAAGAAACTCAGTCTCTCTCTAGATCTCCCTTCTTATGACTCCTCTTACCCAAGGTGTAACTTATATCCTGAGCCCATCTTCATGCTGTTTGGCCCCTGGACCTATTTGCTGACACCATGCCTTCTGCTATTATTCTTACCAATTCACACTTGACATGTCAAAAATATTTCAGTCTCCAAGACAAGATATTTGCCAGCCAATCTTCCTTGACATTCTGATCTTTAAGGATTCAGTATTCCTGTTCTTCTTGGTCCATGGTACTCTGATAATTTTTCTATAGCCTGTTAGCTCAAAAGCTTGTATTTTCATCTTTAATGACTGTGAGAAGTCCATGACTCACATGCATATGTTGCTACAGGGAAGATACATGTCCTCAAAATTTTGACCTTGATTTCCTTGCTGGTACTTAACAACAGACTTTTAATGCTGTTTGATATTTGCACTGCTATAACCATCCTCCTTCTGACTTCTGTTAAAAAGTCTCTATTGCTGTTTATTATCGATACTAGATATTTAAAGTTTCTGTCCTTTTCATTTTCTTCATTTATTGTTATTTTTGGGTGATAATAATAATTTTAAAAAATAAAAATAATTGTGAAGTTTTCTTGTCACCTGTCTGTCCTTTCAGGTGGTAGTGTTTTAATGTGCTAATGGAGGCATTGGACACACAACCCATGTTTATGGCAAATGTATCTAGCAAGACCCTCTCGCATTACAAAATGTCTTCCTTAGTTAGAACATAGGATTTCAGCTCATAACCTAACAGTAATCATTTTATTATTTATCCCTTTTCACTTATTTATTTTTCCCATCCACTCAGCACCATCCATGGCTTCTTGTTTTCACAAATCCACCTCAATACCTGTATCATTCATATCCTATTTGTTTGCTTATATCTTTATATCTTAATAGAGGCCATCCTCAGCATCTCTAAACATACTAAGTGACAATTTTTGAGAATTTACAAAATAATGTTATACTTACAATTGTAGATGTATTGAACAATATGCAGTTCCATACGCATCTACTGTTTCCATGCACAGATGCTACAGACAACTGATAATGGAAAATGTTACCATTGGGATGCTCTGGTGAACTCCAGCTTACATCAGTGCTACATGGTGCTTGGGAAATAGTAAAGTTCTGTATTTTGCCAGCCTCTGAAAAAGTCAAACAAATTTTACTGAGAATATTATTTTACTGTAAGAACAATTTATCACAGTTAACAAAAAATGTCTTAATGGTAAAATGCTGATGCATTCACATACAGCAGTAACAGCAGTGGTTGATTTCCAGGAATGGCCAGGTTGTTTTTTACATGACTTGTATGGCTGCAGTGTTGAACTGATCTTGTAAAATGAGTGATAGAGATCTTGGAAAGAAAAATCAGCAGATTTAATACTGATGGTATTACTTCTTATAATCTTCCTCCTGTTCCTCTTCTCCTCCTCCTCCTCCAGTTGCTTTAGTGTAGTGAGAGAGGAAAGCTGGGGAGGGGGGGGGGGGGTGGGTATAAGGATAATCATGAGCTCTTTGTAATGTGTTGATCTTCATATTCCAATGAATGTTTTTGATGCTGTGATTACATCTTTGCTTTATTTTGTACCTTACTTTGTTTCCTTATATTTTTTTTAATGTACTTCCCTGTTTAGTTGGCACTAGACTATTCTTGTCAGATAATGAAACCATTTCATTTGTTCCTCTTCTAATTTCTTTGTTTTAAATTGTGTCACTTCTTATTACTCCAGCAGCTCTGCTAAGATATCTATGATTATGATTGTCTACTCATTTATAGTAACGATCATTGTATGACATTGTTCTCCTGGCCTTTTGACAGAGATTTGGACCTTGCCAGGTAATATTCCTAAAGACAGCAGAAGTTCCACTTCTACTGACCTCTATTGTGGAGATGGCATAATTTTACCATTGTGATTGTGTTTGACTCTGTAGAATGATGGAGAAAAAACAATAGTACTTACAAGTTTTGTTTTATTATTTATAAGTATCCTTCTATGTGCCAAAAGTTTTGTTATTTTTCACAGTGCCTGATTTGCTTTTGAACATCATATGTTGATGTCTTGTTATAATAATAATGTGTTAGAAATAGGATAAATAAACTGTGTACTGTCTCCACATTTGAGGTTAGCAGCAGTGGATATATTCATGTACTGTTGTCTTTGGAAAGATAATGTGGTGAGGTTCCAGTTTCTTTCACAGTGTGACTCATGCAGTAATGTCCCCAGTCTCTTCCACAGTATGAATCATGCAGCATAAGGCCCTAGTCTCTTCCACAGAGTGAATCAAGCAGCATGAGGCCCTTGTCTCTTCCACAGAGTGAATCAAGCAACATGAGGCCCTTGTCTCTTCCACAGAGTGAATCAAGCAGCAATGTCCCCAGTCTCTTCCACAGTTTGAATCATGCAGCACCGTCCCCAGTCTCTTCCACAGTTTGAATCATGCAGCATGAAAACCCAGTCTCTTCCAGAGTATGAATCATGCAGCATGAGGCCCCAGTCTCTTCCAGAGTATGAATCATGCAGCATGAGGCCCCAGTCTCTTCCACAGTATGAATCATGCAGCAATGTCCTCAATCTCTTCAACGGTATTAATCGTGCAGCATGAGGCTCCAGTCTCTTCCAGAGTATGAATCATGCAGCATGAGGCCCCAGTCTCTTCCAGAGTACGAATCATGCAGCATGAGGCCCCAGTCTCTTCCACAGTTTTAATCGTGCAGCATGAGGCTCCAGTCTCTTCCACAGTATTAATCGTGCAGCATGAGGCTCCAGTCTCTTCCACAGTTTTAATCGTGCAGCATGAGGCTCCAGTCTCTTCCACAGTATTAATCGTGCAGCATGAGGCCCCAGTCTCTTCCACAGTATTAATCATGCAGCATGAGGCCCCAGTCTCTTCCACAGTTTTAATCGTGCAGCATGAGGCTCCAGTCTCTTCCACAGTATTAATCGTGCAGCATGAGGCCCCAGTCTCTTCCACAGTATTAATCGTGCAGCATGAGGCTCCAGTCTCTTCCACAGTATCAATCGTGCAGCATGAGGCTCCAGTCTCTTCCACAGTATCAATCGTGCAGCATGAGGCTCCAGTCTCTTCCACAGTATCAATCGTGCAGCATGAGGCTCCAGTCTCTTCCACAGTATTAATCGTGCAGCATGAGGCTCCAGTCTCTTCCAGAGTGTGAATCGTGCAGCATGAGGCTCCAGTCTCTTCCAGAGTATGAATCGTGCAGCATGAGGCTCCAGTCTCTTCCAGAGTGTGAATCGTGCAGCAATGGCCTAAAAGCAACAGTGAGAAAAATGAGGCGTTTTTCTAAACCCATGCCCTGTGGTGCAGACAATTCTGTCTTTCCACAGATCTCAGACCTCTGTATTTTTAATCAATTTCACCATGCCATCACTTCAGGCCATCACTTCAGGCCATCACTTCAGGCCATCACTTCAGGCCATCACTTCAGGCCATCACTTCAGGCCATCACTTCAGGCCATCACTTCAGGCCATCACTTCAGACCATCACTTCAGACCATCACTTCAGGCCATCACTTCAGGCCATCACTTCAGGCCATCAAGTTCTTCGACCACTGATCCTCCCAGTCATCATGGTCTTCTAAATGTTATTATAATTTTTTTTAAATGGCAACTACATAGCTTCAGAAAATATCTAAACAAATTCCAGTTAATCAACAGCTGAAGAAAAGACACTGGCATTGAATAGGACATATGCTGAGAAAACCTTAGAACAATATGACTAAAATGTGTATACATTGGAACCCACAGGTGCATAGAAATAAAGGCAGCTGCCCACTCCCCCCCCCCCCCACCCCCCAAAAAAAAATTTCACACATAGAGGAAGGAACTAGAGAATGAGATTAAAATGATGGGGAGGAAGTGGGTGAGCTGCATGCAATAGCAAAAGACTAGACATGACCTGGGTGATTGCATCAGCTCTTTTCTGGGAGAAAGGGTAGAAGAAGAAGAAAATAGCATGTAAGAAAATTGATTTAAAAAAACATACTCACTTTCTGCATTGGTTTTGAAACTACCTTCTGTAACATCACTAGATGTATTATTTCCATTGTAAGCTGTAATGCTGAAGAAGTAGGTCGTGCCAGGTTTCAGGAGCACATTACTGATTGTTGTTTTTTTGGTTTCAAAACTGTTTGTATACTCTTTTGTGTTCTTAATCATAAAGATGTAGTAGCTGACGTTTCCTCTTGAGGCTTCAAACGTAATATCATACCAGTATGACTCTAATGAAGTTTCCTGTACTTTGGTTTTGCGAACTGAACTAATATTCCCTGGTTTATCTGGTTCTGAAAGATAAGCAAAAACATAACCAAAAATGGAAAAATCTTATCAAATTAATAACTAGTAGTGGTGTTTTTTTGTTTTTTTTTCTTCTGGTGGTAGGCAACAGAATGCATTACCGGCACCTCTATTTTTAGACATAAGTAATATACACTATTTCGGTGAGCACTGGTACCATTTTAGATTCATTCATTATTTTTAATCTGTTCCAGGTAGGCTTTAGTGCATACCTTTTCAGATAACCTATTACTTATTTAAAACTAACTAACAATTAGTTTCTTTATCCCTGAGATTATCTACATTCTAAAATGTAAGATGTTCTATATCTATTGAGTTTCAACTTAATTTTACACACCAACAGACAGTGAGCAGTAGATACATCAGCACTTCTATAAGCCCTTACCTTATATCAATATATTTCTGTTTATACTTAAATGATCAATTTGATTGGTTGTCTTATGGTCTGGTGATTCTCCTTCCCTTATGTATTCTTTTATATGAGAAAATGCTTCCACATATTGATTTTCTACACAACAGTTTGTGAATAATTCTCTGTTTTCATTCATTACTCCTTGTCTGTGTGTTCCCATAATCTCTTCATAATCTGTGTTATGTTATACTATCTTTGCATTCAGGTCAAACATCACAATTTTTATATTGCACTTTCTTCCACTACTTATAAAATTTTGAGGTTGCATGTAAATTTCTCACATAATTGATTCATTCTTATCATTTGTTTCAACACAACTGGTCTGATTCAGCTGCAGGTGATTTGGCAGCCGATGGCTTTGTATAGATATCAACACTGGATTGAGTCAACCACCCATTCACAAAGCAATGCTAAATTATTCTTCTTATTCTTTTCTTCTGTCCGTAGTCCCCAAACTGAGAATATGCACTCAATCAACTCACATCATCCTCCTATCCTCTACTATTTCATGCAGCTCACTCCATATCCTCTTCATCTTGTTACCTTCTATTAGAAGAGCTTCCCAACATCTTGGTTGGCTGGGATTTACTCATTTCCCATTTGTCTTTTCCGTGGTTGGTTGGTTTTCTTGTTGGCTGGTTTTGTGGCTATTGTTTTTTTTTTAAAATTTTTTTTATTTTATGGGATGAGGTAGCTGACTCCAAGCCCAACCCTACCTTTAGTCGCCTCTTATGACATGCCTGATAGGGTGCAGTGTTACATTCCTTTGCTTCCAGTGAAGGTCCTGGCAACACACAGGCTAATGGTAAATTATTGAACATAAAATTGCCTAGTGAAACTAAAAACACCAACACACGGAATTGATTTGTGATGTCCTGTAAAGGATATGTAACTGACATATCTTAAAAACTCATGATTAACTTGTATTATAAACTGGATTGTGTAATGCATTAAAGTTCCAAATAAAAAGCTTACTTGTCCAAACAGCTACAGTTGAGGTGATGATTTTGTTGTAAAACTCAATAACAAATTTTGAAGTAATTGTTGCAACATAGTATGTCCCAGGTGACAGATGCTTTATTTCTGCTTGCCCTTGAGAAAATGGGATTACTTGACTGCTGGAATTCACTGAGACATAAGTATTTAAGATGCTGTCATCTTGTGATAAACTGCAAATCACTGAGTCAGTTTCACCTCGGCATTTAATATTTTTACGTTTGAGGTTATTCTCTGAAATACAGAAATGGAAAATGGAAAAAAATTAACTTTTGTCCTGTTAAAAAAAAATTATGAATCATATATAAAGACATTTTATAAATATATATATTTTTTAATATAGAGGTCTTTAGTTCCGAGGACTTCTGGTTTGATCTGGGAGCCAAGGTCATTTCTGAATAAAAAATCCATCTTGATGTGGATTTGAACCCACAATATATTTTACAGACACACAGCACATTTATGTAAAACCCCTTAGAGCCCCACCTCCAAACCTACACACCAGTCACTCCTCCATCCAAACACTCACTTACACATGCAAGCATGCACACATACAAATGCATCCACATCCAAACACCCATATCCACACAAACACACACACATACCACACACTAACAAAAAGGGCTCAAAACAACAATTTACACATTGTATTGCCTGCCATGTGTTGTTGTATCTTGTCAGATATATACTTCAAAAACAATTTAATAAGATAAAGCAAATAAATGATTCTTTTAAAATGAAATACAAAAATCCACCACAACCAAATGTAACTTCCAGTTTTACAAGAGTAAATGGAATGTGTTAAAATTTGCAACATGGTAAACACTGCTTTGAAAACTCGCTTTGTCCTGACTTGCTGTGCAATAGCTCATTAAAATTTCTTAGACAGCAATAAAATATTAACTCAAATACTTTGAAAGAGGAGAGAGCCCAAAGACAACTTTTTACATACATTTGAAGGAGACAGTCATAATTTTTGGTCATCTTATGAGAAATGGGAAACTGGAAAATGCTGTGATCACTGGAAAGGTTTGTGGAGAGAGACAAAAAGGAAGACAATGGATACAAATTCTTCACAGCTTTTCGTCATAGCATGGAGTGTTTCAGCACATAAACTGATAAATGCTGTTGGAAATTGCAGGTTGTGGAGAGGCATGCCAGTCTGCAAAAGTCTTTGATGATTATGATGAAATCACTGATTAATAACTCACCTGACTCACACTTTTGAGTTCTAGAGTCATAATACTGTGTGACTGGGCATAAGCAGACATTGAATTCAAGCTTGCAGACCAATGGTGGCTTACAGACATTACCAGAGTCAGTAGAATTACAAGTACCACCATGCTGAATCTCTGGAAAAACAAGTTTTACAAATTAAAGAGTACTTAAGCAAGATGATCAACTTTAGTGAGATAGGTATTATTCTATATCTCTCAGTCTCTCTTCTTGGAGCAGCTGTTTGTCTGCCAAGAGAGTTCAACAAAGCCTGAAATTCAATTGTTTCAGTAATCACCCCCATAGGATCTTCAAAACACAAGCTCTTGTGAATCCAGAGACAGAGCCCATAAGTGAACCAGCAATTTTTGGAGTGCAAGGAAATTTTTTTTAACAAAGTCACACAGATCCCCTCCCCCTTTTACTGCACACTTCTCTGCCACTACTTTATGCTATCTATGCTTAACCTGGTTCCTACTTTTAGCACTTTTTTCTCTTATATTTAAAACATAATCCATAGATAAGATGGTTTAACCATCTGATAGGAATAACCTGGCACCAACTGCCACAGAGAGCTAAGCTGTAGAAATATAACGAACATAGAGCAATGAGAAGGTCCTGCAGGTGATGGAAAGATGGCATCAAGAAAAGTCTTAAAGAAATGATCAACTTATACCGTACAGTAGAAAGAGCACAAAGAAGGTCCTTACATCTTCCCCAAACACATTGAGGAGGTAACTGGAGGAAGAGACAAAGAAGATGACAAAGCTCTTAAATAAATAAGCCAGATTTGCTAACACTTTATGTGACAAGCAGCAGTTCTCCATTTGACTGACTTCCACCCTACAAGGGCTGTACAACAAGTGATAAATTCCTGATGACACAAAGTACTACCATTTTAATGAAATTCCCCAGCACATCCCAGAAACCCTGTTCAAATGTTACATTATAATAAAGCCCCTAACAACAGCAGGTGTGCGGCTTTAAAATAACCAAAAGATTCTGCCCCATATTGAGAAAAGGGTGGGGGGGGGGGGGCAAATTATAACTGTTAGGGCTGTCTGCTTATGAATCTGAAACTCAAATAATGCAGTGATTTAAAAAAATTACAAAGGTTTTCAACCTAGCTCAAAATGAATACTAAGAAATATTATGGGAAGTAAATCATCATCATTATTGCCTTGCTGACTGGCATAGATAATCATGCTACTCCACAATCTGCAATCTTTAACAGCCTGCATCCATTCATGTGTTGAGACTCATCCATGCCATGGCCAAAGGCTGTCAAGAATCATCTTGCATTGTCTTCCTGTGTCTCTCTTTTCCCAGATCTTGTCAGTGGTCACAGCATGTTGCAGGTTCCTTCTTCTCATAACATGACCAGATTTTTAAGGTGTCGATCTCTTTCTGATGTTTGTGAATAGGAAGTGAAGCAGCTGGCATAATACTGACCAAATCACTCAATAAATGCTGATTAGATTATACAAACAATGGCTACCACCCAGTGTGTGAAAAATAGTTCTTTTGAATCCATCTTCTTTCTTCTTTGCATTCACCGTCTGTATAATCTGGTGAAATTTCTGGTTGTTCATCCACTTCTAGACTTTAGTCTTGTTCTAAACTTGAGTTTTGCATACACATTCGTTTTTGCAGATTTGGCTTATTTAAAGGAAACACCCCTAATTAGATGATTTTTACAGTATGCTTGTTGGAAAGGGGGGGGGGGGTGCAGTTTGTGTATTCTTCCCCCTCCCCCACAATGGGGCTCCAGAACCCACACTGGGAGTAGTTTTGAGTTGGGTGGCTAAATACTTAGCTGCTGGCCCGAAGGTCTAGGGTTAGATGCTGGATTTTATAATTTGCCTGGCTCTCAGGTCAACCAAGTCTAAAACAGACATATGGAAATATCCTAGGAATGAAAAGCAGCCTGCATGATGTTGCACATATCATCTACTGAGTGCTGATTGACCTATAAACATAGGGTCTAGCCCATGGGAGCCACCATGGTGTAGCGGCTAGACACTCACTTCAGCCCGATGGTTTTAGATTTAAATCCATATTGAGTCCAATTATTTTTCAAATGCCAAGTGGTCTATGAAATATCGGTCTAATACTACGTATCCAATATACCTAATGGTGTGAGAAAAATTGGATTTTAATTCATTTTTTTATCCTATGCTCACAGTTCTAGTTTGATTAGACGGGTCCTTTACCTTAATTTTCCTTTTAATATATTCTTTGAAATTTTTTTATTTAAACATTTATCACACTACATATCCCTAAACTTTCATATATCAGCATATCACTACTCTTGACCATTCATGACATTACCTATTTAGCTTTCATATATCAGAACATCTCTACTCTTGATCATTCATGACATTATAGATATTTATCCATCTGCCATCTGCGCACTCATAAAACCTAACCCAGTCACCATTTGATGAAAGGACTAGTTATCATCACTTGTGATGGACGAAGAACAACATATTTTTACTGTTCACCATTTATGACATTACACATCCTGATCTTTCATATATTAGCATATCTCTGTTCTTGATCATTCATGACATTTTCCCCCACATTTTCATATATCAGTATATTTGTTTGCTTGACCTTTCTGACATTACCCCCTTATCTCTCATTATCAGATTAACTATTTTCTTCACCATATATGACATCCAATTATAAATATTTATAACTCATTTATGACTTACCAGCATTCGCTGACTGTAGCTGGTTCTGCAAAAAAAAAAAAAATCAGAACTTATTTCTGTAAATGATGTGTTGTAACACTGAACAGTCAATTTCTCTCCAATCTGACATCACAGTAGTCTCAACTTTAAACCATAAATATATTTTACATTCTGTAGGATTGTCTTAACACAAAACAAACAATTATCATTGTCTATAGGATTGCTCAAATATTAAATTCTCAGTATATTTTAAATTATGTAGGATTGTCTCACCATGAAATCTTAAAAACATTCAACATTATATGGGATTGTCTCAACAGGAAATATTTAATGTGTTCAACGTTGGTAGGATTGTCTCAGCATGAAATCTTGAATGTTTGAATTTTGCTTTCTTTAGAATTGTTTCATCATTGAAAAATTAATGATTTTTGCACCAGGTATAGAGTAGCGTTAGCACCTGTGGCTTAGGCATTGCAAATGCACTTCGTAATGCTAGGGTATTGGGTTCGATCCCAGCTGCGGACAGTTTGTCTTGCATTGGCTTTGACAGTGGTACAGAGAGCTGACCATTCAGGAGCAATGGCAAACTAGTAAATGTAAAATTTACCTAGAAAAACCACAACAGCCAAAAATTGCTGGTGTTGGTTCTGCAACGTCCTGTAAAGGACACCTAACTAACTTATAGAGTTGCCTCAGTTTATTGTTAAAAAAGAATTGATCTAATACTGTGTTATGCATTGTTTCAACATAGAAAAATTATGAGATCCTGCACCTTCTATAGAGTAGTCCCAACAGAGAAGAATGATTGGATCCTACATCTTTTATAGAGTAGTCCTAACAGAGAAGAATGATTGGATCCTACATCTTTTATAGAGTAGTCCCAACAGAGAAGAATGATTGGCTCCTACATCTTTTATAGAGTAGTCCCAACAGAGAAGATTGATTGGATCCTACATCTTTTATAGAGTAGTCCCAACAGAGAAGAATGATTGGATCCTACATCTTTTATAGAGTAGTCCCAACAGAGAAGAATGATTGGATCCTACATCTTTTATAGAGTAGTCCCAACAGAGAAGAATAATTGGATCCTACATCTTTCATAGAGTAGTCCCAACAGAGAAGAATGATTGGATCCTACATCTTTTATAGAGTAGTCCCAACAGAGAGGAATGATTGGATCCTACATCTTTTATAGAGTAGTCCCAACAGAGAGGAATGATTGGATCCTACATCTTTTATAGAGTAGTCCCAACAGAGAAGAATAATTGGATCCTACATCTTTCATAGAGTAGTCCCAACAGAGAAGAATGATTGGATCCTACATCTTTTATAGAGTAGTCCCAACAGAGAGGAATGATTGGATCCTACATCTTTTATAGAGTAGTCCCAACAGAGTAGAATGATTGGATCCTACATCTTTTATAAAATTGTCTGAACATAGACAAATAAATAGATGCTCAACATGGAATTCTCAACATGGAAAAATAAATGCTTTCTATGCCTTTTATAGAATTGTCTCAAAATAGAAAAATAAAAATAACTGGCTCCTACAACTTTCATAGAATTGATTGTTTTAACTACAAAAAATTTATGAATCTTACATTTCTCATAGAATGTCTCAAGATAGAAAAATGAGTGGATCTTACACCTTTTATTGAATAGCCTCAGTACAGAAACATTAATAAATCTTACATCTGTTATTGAATTGTTTTAACATTAAAACATGATTGGATCCTATACATTTTACTGAATTGTCTCAGAACATAGAAATTAATTGATCTTACATCCTTTAAAGAAATGTCTCATAACAGAAAAATGATTAAATCCTATATCCTTTATAGAATTGTTTCAGTACAGAAAAATTAATAAACCCTACCATCTTTTATAGAATTATCTCAACATAGTAGAATGAATACCTTCTACAACATTTATAGATTATCTCAACATAGAAAAATTAATAGCTAATACACCTTTTAGAGAATTGTCTCAACATAGAAAAATGAGTAGCTCTACACCTTTTATAGAATGTCTTAACATAGAAAAATGACCGTTTAAAGATGGATTCTACAATCAATCTATTGGCTGTATAGAATTTTCTCAACATAGCTATATGGGTATTTGACTCTCTCAGCATAGAATTAACCATAAATCTATGCTTTTTTAAAAAGGACATTCTCAGTACAGACAACCAGGTCTACTTTTGTTTAAAAGGACATTCTCAGTACAGACTCAATCAGGACTGCTTTTGTTTAGAAGGACATTCTTAATGTAGACTTAACTAGGGCTGCTTTTGTTTAGAAGGACATTCTTAATGCAGACTTAACCAGGACTGTTTTGGTTTAGAAGTTATGTTCTATCATCAGGGCAGTATCAGTATTTGAATAATAAATCTATGCACTTAAATGAAGACTGTTTCAGCTTAGAATTAATCACAATCTGTGTTCTGTTATTAGGAGTGTCTGACATAGAATCAACCATATTTGTATACTCTGATATTAAGATTGTGTCAACATACAGCTAACCACGAATCTATGTTCTCTTATTTGGAATATCTCAACACAGAATTACCACTGCATCAATGTTTCATTTTTATGACTGTCACAACTCTGAAATAACAATAAATCTGTACTCTATTTTATCATTGGATTAATAATGAATCCATGTTCTTCACCTTATCCCCACTCCCCCCCCCCCCCCCATCCTTTAGTTATAGTATATAGCAGATATGTTGATACCACTGGCCTTTGGTCTATCTCAGTGCAGTTAAGAACACAAATACGCACACAAGAACACACACATGCCTACATACGCGCACATACACACCACACACACAAAAGCCACAAATAAATTATAAACTGAATTGTCCCAAAAAGAATTTCTTTACACTTCCTGGTCGCTAAGAAAAATAGATTTCTAATCTTATCTCAATTAGTGCAGGCAAATTACGTAAACCTGTCTACTTTTATTACTATGAGTACATTACCAAGATCTGTAAAAATCAATACATACTTTTATTCTGGATAATTAACTACGATCTTCTTATCAAATAAATTATAACGTAATTTTACGCAACTTTCCTTGATTAATGTTGACAAATAGGAAATAGTTAATGAAATGAGTATTATAACTCATACAGTAGTGAGCATATATTTAACAGCTGTAAAACGTACATTATTCATATACTATTAATACATTAAACAATGGTTTGGCCAATTTTATACTTACAAGCAGAACATAGTATAAAGCGAACAAAGCCAAAACTTGAAGTCGTTTGTCATTTTTGAATCTCTCAGTTGCCATTTCAAATAATGGTACTGGTACTCACACTGATAAGAATTAACCATCCAATTGTTTGTGGTGACTATAATAATTAGGTCTTTAAAAATAGCTTCTTTTATTTTGTTAATAATACAACTTTAGGAAAGTTATAATTTTCAACTCCTGGAAATATTGTGTAAAGAGTACATTTTCTTTCCTTTCTTTTACTCGAGTTAGTGAAAATATTATGCATAAAAGCAAACACACGACGAGCAAAATCCGGGATGGGGGTCATTGAAGTCATTAAACTTCCTTGATGATGTATTGTTGTAATATTTTAGTGGCTTCCCTTAACGATAATGACAGGCCCTTGTCCATCTGTTTTTACTTTTGTGGCTTTGTAAATGTAAATCACAATTTTAATGGAGTCCGCATTTCGGCCGGGACAAGAGAGAAAGGTAGGGCGATGGTGAGGGTTGAGAATGGGGGGCAAAGGGGGGGGGGGTGTCTCTCCCTACTAAATTGTTAGAACATTTGATCGTATTAAGGATACATGTGAAAAACGATAGCACACGATGCTGAGTCTGTTTCATTATTACCATGAGCCGTGTCGGTAGGCGTAGGCTGTCATGCCTCACCATCTCACACGATCACCAGAATCACGGATCAGTTCAATGTGTTTGCCTCACCCCATTATTTTGGCCATGTTATCCAGGTACTTATATTGGTTTTTTGCCCCTCCTTATATTATTATGTATTTATATAATTTAATTGAGTCTGCATACACCTGTGAATAGAAAGAATGGGTTTGGGAAATGGGCAATAGGAAAATGGGAAATAAAAAAAAATACACTGGTTCCAGGCTGAACCGTTTGCCCTCTCGACTGAGTGCGCAACCCTAATGAAGCATTACACCTCAAACTATCTAAGGTGGCTGGTAATGAAGTCTACTCCTTCCTCTTCTTCACTTTCCCCAGTTACTTCATCGACTTTTGGGGGAGGGGTGGGTGGAAGAATCTTCTGTGTGTTGTCTCTTTTCAATGCGTTAAAATTGGTCTACATTTCTGTTAATAATTTCTTGACACGATTGCGCTCCATGTTTAATGTGGTTTTCCCCTTGTTCTGTGTCCAATGCTTTTCTTTAGCGACTGTTGGCTTTGGCGTCTCTAGAAACAACCTGATGCATTTGCTGCGTGCGCATATTTCTAGATTGTTTCGGGACTAACTGTTTGTTTAACAGATCTTCAAATAGGACCCTGAGGGATATTGCAATTGATTTTCACTGGCGCAGGAATGAAGCATATCCGAGGTGACCCGACTGCAGTAGATTTGAAACCTCGACTGAGACTAGGTCTTAATTGTGGCCCTTTTTGTCAGATGACCAGACTATCTCATCGGTTGCTCTTTAATAAACTGTGTGTCTGGTTTCAGGTCAGTCTTTTAAATTTTTAGTTTTTAGTTGTTTCTCTTCTTGTTACTCGGGCAGTTTTTCTAAGACATCTAATCTCTGTTTCTATTATTTTTAGCTCGTTGTTTTTAATAAGGATTATTCAAGCTTGACACTAGTAGTATAAAATCGCCCTCCCCCACTCTGAAAAAAAAAAAATCGTCACGGAGTCTACTTCTCTTCTGCATTACCGCAAGCACAACCATAGATGAATTATAATACTGTTGAAGCCCCCAACCGTTTTCGTTGTCACTAACTTAAATCTCCTCCTGTCAAACGTGACCCTCGTTTTCGTGGTCACGTACAGCACAGTTCAGCAACAGTGTGTAACCAACGGACCTAGCGGGAGCTTTAATCCCCTTCTTTTGGCTATAGACGTCGTGCAACGTGAACCGCAAGTTAGCAGTTTTTTTGTCCTCCTGTTGTCCTCGATTACATCGAATTACTTCTAGATCTAAAAGAGGATGATCAACGGCTACACAACGGTCATAACAAAACCAATACTTTAACTGCACAATGTCAGTAACATTATGTAAATATTCATTGTACAATTTCTATCGTGAGCACAACGACGAAATTTTGTGAAAATGACAAAAAAATAATAACCCCCCCCCCCCCCCCCCCCAAAAAAAAAAAAAAAAAAAAAAAAAAAAAAAACTCAATATGTCTGAAGTAAATGATTACACGATGAATAAATTAAGAGATTTAGTCTGTGAGAACTCACTGAACACCACACATTACAATTACAACCTTCAAGGTTGAACACGATACCGTTGTGAAAATTATTACTACTGTTGTTCCTCCATCACAAGTGATGAAAACCACCTTGCAAACAAACTTAATTATGGTCAATGACTGTGAGTACGAAGATGAGGGATGAGTCCAGTTCAAGCGCCGATAGTTCTTGAGTAGTTTGGACAACAGATGGAAGCAACAGTTGAGGTGGGATTTGTCACATGATTTTTTCTGGCCTTCCTATGTCTCTCATCCAGGGTAACTTTCGTTGCCTGGTTGGCAGGCCAATGTGCCATCTTTGTACGCCACCCAGATCGGTCTTGTACAATAGCCTACCTCTTGTCTGTCTGGATGCCCAATGATTGAGAGCCGTTTTAAAATGTCTTTGTAGCGGTTTTTCTCTCTCTCTCTCTCTCTCTCTCTCTCTCTCTCTCTCTCTCTCTCTCTCTCTCTCTCTCTCTCTCTCTCTCTCTCTCTCTCTCTCTCTCTCTCTCTGTCCACAATGGAATCTTTTCCCGGCTTGAGTTCACCACAAAATATTTTCTCTGGAAGCCGATGATCTGGCATGCGGGGTTGGTGACCAGCCCAGTGAATCTAATAATAACCATGAATCTATGTTCTCTTTTTTGGAATGTCTCAGCATAGAATCACCACTGCATTTATGTTTCATTATTATGACTGTCACAACACTGAAACAACAATGAATACGTATTCTATCACCTGAACTTTTTAGCATTAGCTTAACCATGAATCCATGGTCTCTTCCTACTCTCCACCCCACTCCCACTTTTTAGACATAGTATATATATATATATATATATATATATATATATATATATATATATATATATATATATATATATATATATATATATATATATATATATATATATATCGGAGACAAGACGGCGTGACACCCCTGTAACATAGACAATCCCTTGTCACAGGTGAGAAAGCATAAATAAAATTAAAGCGTAATTACGCTGTGTTAACGCCGGGAATCGTAATAAGAACCCGCAAAGCGTCAATCTCCCTATTCTCTCGCCTATGTCCATGTTGATGTGGTAGCAGGACAGTGTTGAGACGGCTGGAAATGGACAGGTCAGTAGATGACCTAGACGCCTAGATGCTTTATGCCCTTGAACCATAAATGGTTTAGCTTACTGGTTCAAGTAACGTTTTCCGGCCCATACACACGGTGATTGGCCGTTCATTCATGCTTGCTAACCATTCACATGCGCTAGTCTAAGTTTTATCGGAGTCACGTTCTCTTCTGTTATGTATAAATAGACGTTGTGTTTTACTCGTTGTCTGAGCGGGCGGCGACATTGTGTATGCTTAGTCTTCTTGGACTTTAAGTACGACATGAATTTACTTCAGTTGTCAGCGTTGACAACAAATAAGGAGGGTCAACGGCAAAATGTTAACAGTTCTGAAACCACGGGACGTAGGCTGAAGTCTCTTATGGGACATAGGTCGAGGTTGTGGGGTGGTTGGTGTGGGTTAGGGCCAGTTCAAGATCCCCAGGGGTCGTTAAAAGCAGTCACAACCCTGTAATATAGAGCACGCGTCATCGCCGGCGACAGCGTAGAAAACAATACAACCTGATACCTCTGTAACAGAGAGTCGAGCGTGTGAAAGGTCAGCAAGCATAAATAAATAGTGTGTGTGGGCCAGAGATCGCTACGTGTACCGCTTACTTCAACAAAGGGATGTAACAACGGTGATTCGTGCAGATGTTTCAGTAAGCAAAAGTGTTCCCATTTCACATGTGACCACTGGAGTGCCAGTGTCCTATCTCGCGGCCTTTACTCCAAAACACTTACCACATAGACCAACTCAAAATCGGAGCCTCATTTACAAAATAGAATAATAATAAATTAATAAGGTCGATGGCGGGAATTAAACGTTGATGTATACAGCAGCCTATTCCCCACTGGACTGCAAATTACGTTGCAACTGTTTTGTGGTGCACAAACATAACTGTTCTTTATGGCTATACAATTAAAGAGAACTTCCCGGATGTGAAGCTGTTCGATTCTCATTGTTAAGATTCTAATTCTACAGAAGGCAAATCTACATTTCTCACATGTTTGCTTCTGTTATTGCTGTCGTTGAGCTTCTTAATTATCTTCCTCTACTTCTTTCTTATCCTTCTCCTTCCACGACAACAACAAAACAACAACTACTACTGAGGTTGCTTCTTCTACTACTACTACTTCTCTCCTCCCTCCCCCTCCTTTTTTTGGGTCGACATTTTCCATTATTTATTGTCCAGTATATCAGTTGTGTTTGACGCTGGTGCTACGGAGTTAGCTCTTTTTGTGACCATATAGACTAGTGTAAAGGATACAATCTTATGCAATGAAGTGGTGGTGCTTTGCTAGAAAAAAATCGTCACGTTCAACAAGCAACCCCGATAGGAAGAGCTCGAGGCTATAAATGTGAAAAGGTTATATGGGCCATATAAAATGGTTAAGCATTGAACGCCGCCGAAAGCCCTGAAAAAGACTCTTGCAGTGTTGATGTGATCAAAGGAGACTGTCTCAACCGTCGACGAAGTCGTCCACTGGCGAGCCAATGGGATACCAGGTGGCCAATGCCGATGCGATGAAGCCGTTCCTCTCAACGTATTCCGTTCATAGCATATCCACAAGATACGTTTAAGTAGTTCACCATTATGCCCGTGTGGGCTGTATGTGCAGACTACAGAACATATCCTGCAAGAGTGTCCCTTGTACAGCTCATTAAGAAAGAAATACTGGCCCACTGAGTCAACACTGCACCAGAATTGTATAGAACTAAAAGAGGAAACCTAAAAACAATCAATTTTATCACAAGAACTTGTCTGTCAGTGTAA